CTTTATACTTATATTTATCAATTATTGACTGGGAGATGAGTTATGTGTTCGTCCATGATAAAAACAATGTTGAATAATCAGTTTACTTCACGAGCAAGGTATTCAAAGGCACTGAGGCAAGGTATCAAAAGATTGAGAGACTGACATTGGTGGTCTTGATTACTACAAGGAAAATCAGACCATATTTTCAAGGACATGGTGTGATGGTAAATAAACAACTATTCAATCCGTCAAATCCTAAAAACTATGGATCTAGCATGTAGGATGGTATCCTGGTCCGTTGAGAAATCAGAGTACGATATTCATTATGTGCCTAGATGGAGTATAAAACTTAAGGTGCTAACATACTTCTTAGTGGAGTTCACATCATCGATGGAGAAGGAGGTCCCCCACATACGTATACTATCAATGTATGGCACCTAAATCTGAAAGGGAGTGGCACGAGAATAGTTCTAGAAGTCCCATATAACCTTCTTATAGAGAAATCCTTGAGATTTGAGTTTAAAACCAATAATAATCAAGTTGAGTATGAATATCTTATCGTTGATATGATCTTTTCAATAAAGATGGGCGCCTCGAGTCTCAAAGCTAGGAGCAAACCACAGTAAATTTCAAATTAGGTTGGTGGTAAATATCAGGCAAAGGAGACCTAGATGATCAAATATCTTATAAAGGCACGAGAATTATCTAATCATTTCAATTTTTTTAAAGTAACATATGTGCATAGGGAACATAACTCTCAAGCAGATATTTCTTAAAGCATGTTGGCACCAAGAAACTCAGACATAACTAAACAGTCATACGAGAAACTATAGTCACCCTTAATATTGGGATAAAATAAATTAACTTCATCGAAGTCGCCCAACCCCAAATTGGGTGGTGCCTATAATGTGTTACTTGATGATAGACAAGATCTCTTAAGACATGATAGAGGCAAAGAAAATCTAAAAGCTAGCAGCAAAATACACCACGGTGTTTAAAAAACTATATAAAATGGGAAGGGTTTCCCACATGTTAATTTGTCTATGAGTGGACGAGACTATCTTGGTCCTCACAGAAGTTTACCAAGGAACGTGTGCCAGTTACATCGGCGGGTTAGCTCTCACCCATTATTGAAGGTAGGATATTATTGGATCTCCTTGATGAAAGATAGTGCAAAATCTGTCAAAAATATGACAAGTGCCAAAGACATTCCAATCTACCCTGTGCTCCAACCGAGACTCTTTACTTTGTTACATCGCCACGGCCATTTTACCTGTGGGCGTGAACATGTTGGGGAATTTCCTGCTTGTACTAAGGCAACTGAAGTTCCTAATTTTCAAGGTTGATTACTTTACTAAGTGGATAGAAACGGGGGTCCTCTCCAAAATAACGGTAGAGAGGGTTCTACATTTCTATTGGCAACGAATTATATGCAGGTTTGGCCTACCTTAAATCATCATCTCAGATAATGATATGCAATCTGCTAGCTTCATTGTGGTGGATTTTTGCCATCACCTGGGAATAAATAAGAATTTCATCTCAGCTTTCCATCCATAAAAGAAAGCTATACTAAGTGGAATAAATAAAAAAAATTATACGACGCTAAAGACCTATGGGCCAAACAACTTCACGAGTTTTTAGGGTTATATCTCACCACCCTTTATCCACCATTTACAATTGCCTACGATGTTGCTTTCATGCTGCCATTTGAAATTTGCATGCTCACTTAGAGGTGCACGTAATTCAATAAAGAAGAAAACAAGACAAAAGTTAGGTGTGTATCTAGCCTATTCATAAAACTAGAGAATACACCCATATCGGGGAATTCGCCGTCAAACAAAGGCTACCAGAAGATACAATTTAAACATGGTCCCAAGGGAAAGCAAGAAGGCGACCTTGTACTTAGACAAGCGGTCGCCCTTACTCGTTTTTCAAAGTTTCTATCTAACTAAGAAGGTTCGTGTCGAATATGCTAGAAATTACCCCATGGTGCATACAAGCTCGAGGAACATGACATAAGTCTTATCACCAAAACTTGGAACTTAGATAATTCAAGTTACTATTGCACTAAATTATTTAATGATTCATGTTTGATAAGGTGAAGGCCTTATCTCGCCAATGTATGAATCCTCTCATGTATTTAGTTTTTAATTACCAAAGATAGGGTAGCACACTTTTCGCAACGGCAGTGGATTTTAATGAGGCATCATATCTTCGTAACTATATGATATTATGGACAATTGATCTTAGACCTCCAAATGAAGGATCTATGTCACCTATAAGACAATAGTATGTTGGACCTCCAATGAATGATCCTTGTCACCTATGAGTTAATAGAGTGTTAGACCTTCATTGAAGGATCTTTGCAGCTTATGAATCAATAGTATGATGGACCGTCAACGAAGGATCCTTTCTGCCTATGAGGCAATTGTATGATGGACCTTCAATGAAGGATATTCTCCGCCTATGAGGCAACAATATGATAGATATTCAATGAATTATCATTGTCACCGAGGAGGAAATAGTATTTTGGACCTTCAATGAAGGAACTTTACCGCCTATGAGGCAAGAGTATGTTGGGCATTCAATGAAGTATCATTGTCGCCTATGAGGCAATAATATGTTGGTCCTTCAATGAAGGATCCTTGTCTCCTATAAAAAAATTGTATGAAGGATTCTTGTCGCCTATGTGGCATCTTACCATTAGAATCCTCGTCAGCATTGAGGGACACACCCTTAAGAAAACTTATTATGAAGAAAGGAATCCAAAATAAAACTAGTCGCCACAAGGCCTGAGTGTTTTTGTCAATAAACTCTAAAGGTCCGAAAATTTATCTATATAGGGCAAGAGAGAAAACCACACTTGAGATACTCACCTAGAGCTTTATCCAAAGAACAACAACACAAAAACTACAAAAAGCGAAGGCTTAAGAGTTTACGAAAGGGATTCGACTGTCAGAGCCTCGACCGGGGGACTCGACTATCTCAGCCTCGCTTAAGGGACTCAACTGTCTAAGTCTCGCCAGAGAGATTCAAATGTCTCAGTTTCCCCTAAAAGTAAATTACCTTTGTCTAGATTCTATCATCGCTTTTGCCTAAACCTCGTGATTGAGAGACTATAGGTTGGGATAGTTTATAGAGCCTAAAAAGACAAAATCAATTATAAATAACTTTGACTAGTCGTAATAACATTAGGAGAGCGCCTAAAGTAGAACGGGTCGCTCAAAGCCATTTCAAACATCCTGATTGGGATTGGGATGCCCCGCCCGAACTAGAATCCATAACTTGTTTCTTTTATCACATGTGGTCTGTAAGGTGTCCAATGAGTAACGGTATGGAGATATCAGTCAAAAGAAAAATTCCTCCCCTACGATTTAAGGAAGAACCAATCTTCCTCCATTTCCACATTTTTGTCAAGAAAATAGGGAAAACGTTTCTCTTGCTTCCTACTCCGGCCTAAGAAATCTTCTATAAATATTTCAATCTCAGAATTGTGAAAGATCACTCGTTAATTTCATAGAGAAATACACAAAATCTCTCACAATCTCTACGCAAGTAGACTCTCTCAATTATTGTATTTTCAGCAAGTACAAAAGTATATTAAAATAAAATTTAAAAAAAAAAAACAATTGAACCTCATTTTAACCGAACAAATTGTAATTTCCAAATTAATTTTCAAATTAATTTTCAAATTTTAAACAAAAAACTCACTTCCACTCCAAAAGAACCCTAAAATGAATATAGACCCATTTTAGTTTTTGGAAACGTAAATAAGATTCATATCCATCTTTCACCAAAATTGTAAAAAAATAGTGATATGTATCGCTCAAAATAGGGTATTAATAACACAAATCACAAAATATGTGTCTCAGTGTAAATAATAAGGGCAACAAACGTTGCTTAAGATTCTGTTGTGCATGTTTATAATGTACAAAAAGGGCATCCTTGATTTGATTATTTTTTTTAAGTTGTTGATTTATAAAGGGCATCCTTGATTTTGTAAGAACGGGCAACCTATTTTTTTAGTAGCAGAAATTGAAGCATTAATACTCCAACTCATATTGCAATTGAACGTGTTTTAATAAAGAAAGCTGTACTTTGAGGAAGAGAATATTAGTGTAAGCACGTATATTTTGAGAGTATCATTCAATTACACATACACTTAGTATATAGTATTTTTTGGTATATCAACACTAAATCAGTTACTTGAGTAACAAGCTAACTAATAAATCAGTTAATTGAGTAACAAGCTAACTAACTTACTTACAATTCTCATGTCATATAGTACAGGGTTTTCTTGCTAGGTTTATTCAAATTTGTTGTCAATTTGCAAGATGATAAGCTTCTTCACTTCAACCTTCATTTCCTCGAGTACTGATCCAATCCATATTGTTTGACAAGCGGCATATGACCATGCTATGTACCCAGCCTCACAAGATGATAGGGCCATAACAGATAGCTTCTTTGAGCACAATGAAATTAATGCTCTGAAGAACTCGAAAAAATATACCTGTATACCTAGTGGTGCTCATTCCTATCAACTCTGTCTCTGCATCAAACAACATCAGGAAAACAAGCAATCACTACATCATCTTGCTTTGTAGATCCTGGGAACAAATTGACATAGCTTAGCATGCCTTCATGTATATTCACCTTGTTGCATTTATGGTAAATATGACAATTATTATAAGAATGTATGGTGTTACATGATATCATTACATCAATTATTTAAAATTACAATAAAAGCAAAAGTCAACACTCTTTTTAAACATTAATTATGAGACAGAAAGAGTGTTAAGAATGTGGTGTTACATGGAGATAATGTTACATCAATAAATTACTTCTTTTAGAAAAATGCAATAATATTACAATAACAAAACATAAAGAATACTATTTAGTGACAACTAGGACTAATGACTACATAAACATAACTAAGGGGTAAGGGTAAAGACATCCAGCAAATGTCTTAAATTAAACCATTCCGGGCTTAGTGGAATAAGCTGATGTTATTGTCAGTGTCACCCTGCTGAATTAACTGGCTCAACAAAGGGAGATCTACGCCGTCTCTTGGATGGAGGAGAGAATTTCATAGCACTGACCTTTCCAAGGTTTACAGATAACTTACAATTTGTGGGTGATGCTAACTCTGTTGTTCGTCCATGTTTCCTAGAAGATGAACTGATCGGAGACTTTTCTCTTCTAATTTTCTTTTTCTTCTCATCTTTTGTAGCTGGATATTTTGTCGGAGATTTCGCTCGCTTTTTGGCCATACCAAACTGCTTCCCAACCTCCTTTTTCTTGTCATGCTTTAGGAGCCTAACATGAAAAGGATTAACACCTGTGTAACAAAGAGATTCCCCTGGAACATCGTGTCTTTGTAGTTCAACTTCTCCATTGTTCACCTGGAAATTTAAGTAACTCGCATTAAAATTCATTGACCAATCAATTAATGACACTTATATTTATCACATCATAACATAATATGAAGTAAAGATTGCTTATAAGGGACTTACCAATTGAAGGAGTGAAGAGAAACTTCGGGAGATGTCATACTTTTCTTGTCCCTTGACCAAATCGGAAAAGGGCAAGACACTGCCACTGCTTTCTTCAAGGGATAGTTTCTCAAGAAGTCTTTCACCGTAGTCTCGGAATTCAAACGGTGGGTGTGAATCCTATCACATAAAATGAATTGGTTCAATTTAAAGATCTAAAAAAATTGAGAAAGGGAAGCACACTTAAAAGATGAATTCACCTGTTCTTCCAAGTTTTGCTCAATTCTTTGCTTCCATGTTGAAACTCTTGCAGCCATTTCTGTTTGTTTCTCAGATTCGGCTATGTTAGCTAGGAGAGCATTCTATACAAGAAATTACCCATTAGTTTACAGGATTTAAGCAATTTAGCATTTTTATCTCTTTTCGAAACAAGCAACTGCATAACTTTACAAGATTTCTTTTTCTTGGTGAAAATTTTTAGAATGATAAAACGTGAACACAGAAGGATGATAACGGAAGGCAATATAGCATATTACTATAATTTATAAGCAACCACTTGCTTATACCCAAAAAAAAGAAGGATGGGGCTTTTTACCAGATGAGAGCGGCAAAGATCTTCCAAACTTGTCTGAGAATCTGGAAATTCAGGATCTACAGCTTCATCGGCATTAGCATTAACACCATCAACTCCGTGCTGTTAATTCAAATATATAAACCCATAAATATAATCGAAGATGCTAAGAAGCAATTTTAAATATATAAACTACCAAGTTATCCCGACCTCTTTATTGAAAGGGCGTTGGTCTTCATCCATGAAGTCATTGCCAGGCATATCAAAATCGGGAAATCCATTATCAAATTCGTTATCATCATTATCATCTTCAGTGTTAAGAAATGGTACACCGGTTTCATTTCCCTCACTAGTAAGAGATTGTCTCAGCTGCAATTAACATAACACATTATTAACAATGAAGAGTTATATACTAATATTAGGGGACAGATCATCCATCAAAAAGTACCGTCTCGTATAATGGAAGAGTAGATTGAGAATCCTTTTGTCGCTGTTGGGCACATTGTCGCATCTCCCACATTTCCGTGAGCTCTGGACTGATAGGACCATGCAATTTGGCAGGTGGAAAAAAGGTGCTCATAGATACTCGATGTCTCACATTGATTCTAGTTCTTCTTGTAGTTTTTACTGCAGGTACATCAAAAAGAAGAAAGAACATGGGTAAGTTGTACAATGACAGGAAGGCAGATTGATGATAATAAGGGAGTAAGAGTAACCTTTTCGAAAGGGCTTTACTCGCAAGTTTCCTGTTTCATGAGGATTCAATGGCTTCCATGGATCTTCATCATCTTCATCAGAATTGTCGCCATCCCTAGGTGCATCAAATCCATCATCCATATTAGGTCCAAAGTTAGTGTTATCAAAACCAGCGGAGGCTGGAGGACTGAGCCGAGCTTCTTTGTCTTCAAAACTAATATTTTTAGGAGAGATCACGGTATTAGCACGCTGACTCTTTGCAGCTGATTTACGAGCACTTCCACCGGAACGTCTAGGAGAAAGAAAGCCTTTACGAGTTGAGGTTGCTCTGTTAGTACCATTAAATGCAGTACCAGCTTTTCCCCCCTTCATATACTCATTAACTGCAACGGCATCAGATGTGTCCAATAAAATAAAATCCTGGTACAAGTCTGTGGTGGACAGCTGCAACAATTCATCATATCATTAGTCACCAAAATTAAACAAGCACCGCTATATTAACAGCTGCAAGTAATTAAGATACCAGATAAGACTCCAATTCCCCTCCATCACCACCAGTATCCAAGCAGTCTCCTTCAAGAACAACTAGATTTGCAGGGGGTTTTATGAAGAGATCCAAATTCACGTCTTTGCTTGTTGAACTGTCCAATGAAATCTTTTCTTCAACTGCAATACAGCAAAAGTTCAGGTGATCTGGCAATTGCAACTATGTAGAAGATATTTTGATGCACTTGGTAAAAGATTGATAGGAGAAACAGTAGGCGGAATGTATGAGACAAAACCAAATAAGCCCAAACAACCAATTAATGATAAACAACTTTAATGGAAATCGCTGTATTTGTAATTCAAAACCAAATAAGTCAAAATAACAATGCTAACAATAGATTATAAATTTCATAAATAAAACTAATCAGGACGATAAAAACTCCCCTTTGTGTCATGGTTCTGGTTTGATCAATTAGTCAAATAAATTTCATTGGATAGGTACCTGGGATGTCATCTAAGATCCAGAATTGATCATTTTCTTCATTAGTAACAGCGGCAGAGGGACCAGCTTCATCATCAGGTTGGACGGATTCTCCTTCTACCTGATCTGGCTGTCTGCCCAAGAAACATTAACCAAAATGAATGGTTGTTGTATGTAAGGTTTGCATAAACTCAAATACAGTCAGCTAGAACAGATTATTACATCTTAGTTTACGTAATTTCGTTCGAATATGTAGTTATATCTACCAAGTGTCTGTTAAAAACTCTCACAAAAACTTTAACAGTTAGGTGAAGACAACCAACCAACCTATATTGCATTGAAATTCAACTTTATATATAATGGAGATGAAAATATTGAACTCTTGAGAACTTGATCCAACAGGCCCTAATAGTCTAATACCATGTCAAAGATGAGCTCCCAAAATCTTAAACTGAATAGTAAAGAAACATTATTGGTTTAAAACCTCTAGCAGATTAACAGGTTCTATCAAAGGGATTGTAATCAGTCTCCCTTCTAAGCTAAATCTTTTAAGGCAAACCAGTGATATTGCTAGAGAGCAACCTAAACTGAAAATAAACACTAGAGTAAGCAGCACAAAATATTAATATACTGCACTAATACAGTACGAGTATTTTCTGCTTTTATCTTTTGATTCCAACCAAATCTTCAGAAAGATCTCAACAAAATTGCTGGTGAATTGGTGAACTTACAACAGCAATCCATGCAACTATGAAAATTTCTAAACACCGTAACACTTGAAGGCTGACTTTTTCATGTCTCATATCCATCATTGCTTAAAATAACGAAGGGAAAAAAAACACTTAACTATAGTGTCTAAGGCCCAGTTCAGCCGGTTCTTCATCTAAGTTATCCTAAATGGCGTTTTTTAAATCAATTTGAATTGTATCGGTTGGAATACATTTTTGGCAGTTTTGTACATACTGGATGAACAACTAAGGCACTGTAGAAGTATCTTTTTTTTTAAATAAATATGTTTCCTCATATACCAATGAGCTATTAATTAAATTTGAACCCACATAGTGAGTAGGGGCTGGGTTATTAGAATATTTTGTATTTTGGTCGGATAAAACTGCAATCAGGTAGAAAAAGGAAATATGTAACAAACTCTGAACACCTTTAAGAGCACTATATCACCTAATTCTATTTTCTTCACCGCCATCAACAACAAATTTTCAGCTTGTACTCAACCCCCTCTCCATATTTTTTTTGAAAGCTTGGTACCCGGACTTGCGACCGACTAATCTAAGGAACCAATTCAACGTCCACTTGTGGGGGCCACATTTAAAGTGAGAGCAAAGTTGCATGGACTGGCCCAACACAAAAATTGTTAGCACATAGCAGGATTCGAATCTGAGACTTTTAGAGGAGCACACTCTCACTACCCAACAAGCCTTCACCAAAAGGCCAATCTCCCGGGGATCCCTCTCCATATTATTAAAACAGATTGGAAAATAAATGCTAAAACTTTAACTCAAAGACCAAACCTTTTCTGAGAAAGGAACTCCAAAGCACGCAATACCAAGTTGTAGAGATACTCAACCTTTCGACTATACACCTGTATTGAACCCTGAAGCAGTAGAGCAGCTACAATTACCCAGAAACAGCTTATTAAGTTTAACACATTACAAATAAATAAAATTGGGAACTTTCAAACTAAAATGTGTTAGATGAACCACACCTTCAGCAAAATTGACATGAATGTTCCCTTCTTCTTCGCCAGTGATTTCACCAGAGCATATTTTTATCAGATACTCCTCAAGTTTCTTCGCTAGGTCAACTTCCCAATTGGATTGTAGGTCACGCTCCGCATGAACCGCGTGGAATGCCCCTCCACTCGGTTCCGATGTGTTTTTAGTCATCTTCAATGGACAAAATTACAACGCAAATCATAGTAATTTCATCAAATTCGACTCCCTAAGAAAAGGGGGAAATCTAGGGTTTCGTTGTTCTAGAGAAGGGTTAAAGATATCTGTAAATAAAATATAAAAAACTAGGGTTTTGAAATTCGACGAGAAATGGAAAATGGGGTTGTGACAAGTTAGGAGCTTGTGTGTGTGAATTGCAGAGAAGAGGAGGAGTAGCTATGGCAAAGAACAAAAGAGAGAGAAGAGAGAGAAGAGAGAGGAGAGAGAAAGTGGGAGAGTATTCGAAATGTTTTAGATATGTTTTTCCCGCTCTTCAATCAAAGTTGAGTTTGGGCTAAACCCTAAGCCTGGATCCCACTTATGTTCTGGTTTTCAATCTTGTTCTGTTTTTTGTTTTGTTTTTTTTATTAAGTTTTTGCTTTTAAAAATATAATTTATTTAGAGAGAAATGGTTAGAATTAGTTTTTTTTAACTTTAATTCAAGTATTTTAAAAATAAGTTTAATAACTTTTAAGTTTAATTGTAACTTTAGTTCTTTTATTTAGTTATTTTCTTGATTTTGATTCTCTTATTTTAAAAATTACTATTTTAGTTTATTTTTTAAGTTTTTTTGTTAAATTTTCGCCTCCCTTTTAAATTTGGATGTATTTTTGTATGACGTTGCGCTATTTTTGCTTATGTGTCAATGTCACATCATTTTAATATTAATATAATTTATAAGTCTTTATTATTTTGGTGTTAAATGTTAAAATTTAAAAACATAAATTCCTCAAAATAATTATCACACATGAGTCTCGGTGTTAAATGTTAAAATTCAAAAACATAAATTCCTCAAAATAATTATCACACATGAGTCTCGAACCTATGTCATTTCACCCATTACCAACACTATTACCAGTAGGCTATACTAATTCATTTGTTAAATACCCACACAATTGTTATAATGGTAACAGACGTGTAGCTGCTGTGAAACTTGAAGATGGGTCTATTGCTGAAAATTTATTTTTATAATAATCACATGATTAGCTAAAATGTAGAGGCGTTTACATTAGAGAAGAAGATCAATTGATGGAAAATTACTTTTTCTTTCTAATTTGTGCAGGGAGTTATAGGCATTGGAGCAAAGCCTGTTGTTGGTCCCTTTGAGAGATTGGGTTTGAATACTAATGTCGGTGGTATACAGGTGAGGCCAATGGATATTTAAATATCTTGAATAGTATTCAAGATTAGACATTGCATTTGATTCTTAAAACATCTGCAGCAATTTAGAGGGTAGTTAATTGAACATGTTGGCATTGTTTTTGAACATGTTAATTATCAATTTTTTGAGACCATGCTCCATGTGTTAAAACCTCATGTTTGCAGATAAAACAATAGGGTAGCCAAAATAATAAGTTCAAGGATTTCATCTAAATGTGTTAGTAATATAGTATCATGTATTTCAGGTTGATGGTCAGTTACAGACAAGCATTCCAGGAATATTTGTTGTTGGTGATGTTGTTGCCTTCCCTTTGAAGGTATAATATTAGTTTGTTGAGACGGTTGTCTCAATTCATTCTCGAACTCACATTGACATTTTTGAAAAACTAGACAAATCTTTAAACACGACTCGTTCTCAATTTTAACATTTGTATTTTTGGAAAATTGGACAGATATACAACAGTGTTGCTCGAGTGGAACATGAAGATCATGCTCGAGTGAAATAATTTTCACATGTTATACTGTATGTTGTAAATAAAATTTTGTTTATAACAATATATTAAAAATTAATTTCAATTTATTACATTATACTAAAAATTAATTTCAGATTACTTATGCAAATATATACAATATGTTAAAAATAAAACTCAGTTTATTCTAAAAATATACTATATATAACAATCGTGTGGATATTTAACAAATGAATTAGTGTAGCTTAGTGGTAGGAGTGTTGGTAGTTGGTGTGAAAGGACATAGGTTCAGGTCTTATGTGTGACAATTATTTTGAGGAATTTATGTTTTTGAATTTTAACATTTAACACAAATTATGTAAATATTAAGATGGTGTGGCATTGACACATAAGCAAAAATAGCATGTCATACAAAAATACATCCAAATTTAAAGGGGGGCGAAACAAAAAACTTTAAAAATAGACTAAAATAGTAGTTTTTAAAATGGGGGATCAAAAATAGCATGTCATACAAAAATACATCCAAATTTAAAGGGGGGCGAAAATTCAACAAAAAACTTTAAAAATAGACTAAAATAGTAGTTTTTAAAATGGGGGATCAAAATCAAGAAAAGGACTAAATAGGGGGACCAAAGTTCCAATTAAGTCTAATTTTTATTTTGTCTTAACACGGCTAACATGCTTGTTACCAACTATTATTAACTAACATCAGGACTATTAACAATAAAGAAATTATTATTGTTAACGAGTATTTCGACCATGATTCAAATTTTTTCTTAAAACAAAATGAAAAATGATTGATTATGGTCGTTATCCCAAATGACCTTAATTACATTGTCCTTGCTAATATCTTGATGAGACTCATTAAACTTATAGAATCATATACATTTATATTGCTTAATAGCATTTTTTTAAGGTTATGGGTCTGTTGGCTCCTAAATTCGACACCTTTGTTTTGATTGATGGCAGCCATTAAAAGCTGAAAGATGCTTTCGACTGGCTAAGCCTGTCGAAGTGCCCGTCGAAAGATGGCAAAATACTTAGAAGATTTCTTCCAAGGAAGAAGGCTGATTGCCTTCGACGTCGAAGGAGTAGTCGTCGAAGATGTCTCTTGACGAACGTGTTCGATGGTCCAGAGTGGAGCAGTTTGAAATTCAAAGCTTTGGAGGGAAAACGGTTTCCAGCAGTTACTACGTGCAAACGTGCAAGGATCTGGAGCGTCGAGCATGGAGAACGTGCCAAGTGGCTTAATCTCGAAGCAGCATAACTGCCCGACAGTTACTTGGATGTTTTAGTATAAATAGGAGTAGACATGTAGTTCCTCGCGTGTGTTCACAAATAGATACATAGTCACTCATTTAGATTCAAGTACCCAGTGTGAGCGAAAGAATTGTTGAGAAATGTATGTGTGAAACACCAATTTTATCAATTAAAAGTCATTTACTTTTCCAGTATTTTACATGCTTTTCCCCTTTAAATTCCTGTCGAACCTTTACTTTAAAGCCTTGCTTATTTTACCAAGCCTTTCCTTTATGCAATTTACTTGAAACATTTTACTTAAAGCCTTATCCACTTTAATCAAACTTCAAAATCAACCTATGTCCATAGGATCAATCTGATCGATCCTGCGAGTAACCAAATAAGTAACCATTTGGAGGATCAGCGGTTGTTTACCAAAACCCGAGGTAAACAAATTGGCACGCCCAGTGGGACTGTGTGTTGATTGTTGAAAAATAATCTCATCTTTTCGAGTTGTATGTTATTGAGGAGTGGTAGAATATACACTAACGATAACAATACTGCCAGAAGAAGGGAAGAGATGGCGAATCCGCCAAACAATAATGAAATCCCACAAACGAGTGTGGGAGCAACGGTTAATATGACCGTGAGTGAAGCGACGAACGTTGGTTCGACACCAGCAGTGTCAGTCACAACCACGGGGCCAATAACTTCGTTTTCAGGCCCCAGAATGCCTTTGGGAACTCCCCCTCCAAGGGGAAATATAGGCACAAGGCCTGTGGTTCCCCCAGGATTTATTCCATTCTATGGTATGCCAACTTCTGAAGTGGCAAGCCTGACGAATGCTGCGTCCACTTATTCAGACCCTTTCGTGAGTGCCTCTTCGCCACTCCAAGGCTCTGGAGTAGGCATGGCGAATAGAAATAGGACCCAATTCCTAGGAGGAACGTCCCAAGTAGCCCATGGCCTTACAAATGCCTCGACAGCAGTCTTGAGGCAACAGATGGACGAAAGCAACCATGATATGGTGCAAATGTTGGCACAAACTTTGAGTACAGTGCTAAATCCTCTAATACAAAATACTACTCAATCGAATCAGCAAGTTACAGCGTAAATGACGCGTTTGGCTGACTTCTTTGGAGTACCCCCACCTATTCGACAGCCCCAAAGGGCGCAAACAAGAGGAAATCAGGGGATATTTGTAGAGGAAGAAACCACCATTAATCAGGCTCAACAGCCTGTAGAACAACCTGTCGAAGAACCTAGGGTAATAGCCCCAGAGGTAAGGTTAGTTAACAGAAACCAAAATGCTGACGAAGTGGTTCAGCATATCCAACACCAAAACATGGGTTTGGAAAATAATCTGGCAACCATGATCGAAAGGATCATGAATCAGAATGGGATGAACATGGGCTTTCGAAGGCCCAACTTTACATCTCCATTGTCAGAATATGTGTTACAAACTGACTTACCTCCTAGAAGCAAAGTCCCCAAATTTACTAAGTTCTCTGGGGACACGACAGAATCCACTGTCGAACATGTGGCGAGGTATTTGATCGAAGCAGGAGACATTTCAAATAATGAAAACCTAAGGATCAAATACTTCCCAAGTTCCTTAACTAAGAACGCTTTTACTTGGTTCACAACTTTACCCCCCAATTCGATCCACCATTGGACCCAGTTGGAAAGATTGTTCCATGAACAATTCTACATGGGGCAAACTAAGATAAGCCTGAAAGAACTGGCGAGTGTGAAGAGACGTTTCACTGAACCTATAGACGAATATCTGAATAGGTTTAGGTTGCTTAAGGCGAGATGTTTTACACAAGTGCCAGAACATGAGCTGGTCGAAATGGCCGCAGGCGGTTTAGATTATTCCATTAGGAAGAAGCTAGATACCCAGTACCTAAGAGACATGGCCCAACTGGCCGACAGAGTTCGACAGGTCGAACGCCTCAAAGCTGAAAAAGCCAAGGCAACGAAAACTCACAAGAGAGAAAGAATAGCGTACGTTGAGATGGATGACGAAGATCTAGAATCCTTCGACGATACTTTAACTGTCGAAGAAGGAGAAGTCGATTTAGC